TTCTGGAGGCAACTTCTGTTCCACTGATTAATTGTTCTAACCGTCAGGAAATTTCTCCTTAGTTCTAAGTTGCTTCTCTCCTTGATTAGTTTCCATCCATTGCTTCTTGTCCTGACCTCAGGTGCTTTGGAGAATAGCCTGATCCCCTCTTCTTTGTGATGTCACAATGTGGCAAGAAAGGTTGTAAAATGGGGTGAAACTCACTTAACAAATATCTCACTCAGCAACATAAATTATAGGCTCAATTGTGGTCGCAAGCAGAGGACTACCTGGAATGCGAATTGGGTATATCTATAAATAGCAATAGCACTTAGACTTATGTACCACTTTACAGTGCTTTACAGCCGCCTCTAAACGGTTTACAGAGTCAGGATATTGTCCCCAACAATCTGGGTTCTCATTTTACCGGCCTTGGAAGGATGGAAGACTGAGCCAAACTTGAGCCTGTTGAGAATCGAACCGCTGGCAGTTAGCAGAATTAGCCTGCAATACTGCATTCTAACTACTGCACCATCAAGGCTCCTAATGCTAACCAATAAATTCAGTTTGTTTGTTTCAGCCCAGTCCAACACGGTGTTCATTTTATCCAGCACAATTTGAGAGCAATAATCACACTGAGAGACAAAACTAGAGTTTAACAGTTTATTTCTGGTACGCTGTTTGACATTGCATTGCATCTTCAGATGTGTGGGGCTACAACAGAGTAATGCAAATTGGGTCTAATCTTTAAATGCTAAAAGATAAATTCAGTTTGTTTCTTTCAGCCCAGTCCAACATTCTGTTCATTTTATCCAGCACAATTTGAGAGCAATAATCACGCTGAGAGGAAAAGGGGGTTAATCATTTATTTCTGCGCAGAGGTAAAGATGGATGTTTGAGACCCAAGTTCAAATCAAGAATGACTGCTGACATTCAACAAGTTGTGGTTATACCATAAAATCACAGATAAGCATAAAGAAATTCCTGATATTATCACTTGTTCCTGATTTATTGGACTTCCACAGCTAACATACCTTAATAGGCATGGGGGTTGTGCTTAATTCCAACTTAATTCCATAATAAGCACTAGGGTGCATTTAATTTGATAAGGTGTCCACCTCTGGATGTTCTTATTTAACATCATGATGATAAACCATTTACCTGTGGATCTTTGCCCAGACTTTTGCCCATGGCTTCAGCAAAATACCACATTACCTTTCCTTGTTCCAATAACGGTCCCATTTGTGTACTACTTTAGCATACAGGTAGCCCTCAACGTATGGCTACTTTTGAGTGGAAAATCCCCATTTCTAAACAAGGCAGTTGTTGTTAAGTGAATCACTGCTGCTGTTAAGTTAGTAACATGGCTGTTAAGTGAATCTAGCTTCCCCATTGATTTTGCTTGTCAGAAAGTTGCATAAAAGGATCACATGACACTCTGCCCCCCCAGACACTGCAACTGTCGTAAGTACATGCCAGTTGCCAAGCTTCTGAATTTTGATCACGTGACCACAGGGATGCTGCAAAGGTCAGTAGTGTGAAAAACAGACACGAGTCACTTTTTTCAGTGTCATTGTAACCTTGAATGGCCACTAAACAAATGGTTGTAAGTTGAGGACTACCTGTATTTACACTCAGAATGGGACACCTGGACTAACACTGCCTATAACTGAAATGTTTGTGAGATTAACCTCTTTAGCTTCTGATAAATGCCAAGGTAGGTGTTAGCTAACTGGGAATCTAGCAATCCAGGAAAAGCATAGACAATGATTAAAATAGGTAGTTCTGACTAAAGCAAATTNTATATATATATATGGTTTTTTACAACCCCTGGTATGCTCAAATATGGGAGGAAGATCACTATTTCCATTCTCTGTCCTTCGGCTTGTATTTGTATATAAATATATGCGTGTATGTGTGTATGTGTATAAAATACATACGGAATGTATGTATACATGTGTGTATGTATATGTGTGTATAATTATATAAAATATTCAGAAGCATTAGACAAATGCTTAAACAAATAATTGTGCCTGCATAATTGGTATGCACTGAAAAACCGATAAACTATGGTGCATAAAAGTGGGTTTGGTTTCCATAGAAATTATAAAATATATTACATTTTATAATATAAAATATATTATATATAAAGTACAAAAATATGAGAAAAGGGGGTGTATCTATTCCATAGCCAACTTTTGGAAAGAGAAATCAGAACCCCAGTAAAGGATTCCTCTGTGGAAGCTGAAAAGTTTTTTGGGGGGGGGTCCCATTGATTTGGGTCAAGTGTGATTTCACCCAACTCCCCCACCCAAGATCTTTTAGGGCTTGGGAACTAAGGTCCGACCAACCTGGGGCTTGCTAGGTGAGGGGAAGCTCCAGATCCAGCTTTCCTACCGCCGCTGAAACCGCCCTTCATCTCATGCGCTACCTTTCCCGGTGTCCCGGAGAAGCTTCTGAGCTTGGGGCCTGCAGTCACTATCCGACAGCACCTTGGCGGCCACTTCCACGGCATAGTCGTTGCAGTAGTGATGGACCAGGAGGTCGCTGAGTTTGATCGCGTTCGCCTTCTCCAGTTTTCCTCGAGGGATGTTCCTGAAGCCATCCTTCACTGGGAACTCGTTCAGGTTCGCCTTGAACGCTTCCAGTTCGACCGCGGTCAGGTCTTCCAGGGTTTCTGCCAGGCGGCAGCGGACGCTCTTCGCCATCGCGCTCCTTCTTCTCCTTCTTCCGCGAAATCAGAAGGCTCATAAGAAAAAGAAAGGAAGGCGCGAAGCGGATAAAGCGCGCAAGAGGGAGGGCTCGCCAGCGCGATCACCCGCTACTTTCGCTTTTTGCCTTCTCTTTGTTTCCCGTTCCGGCTTTGCCCTTTTTCTTGCTGCCGGGAATCTGGAGATTTCCGGAGGATCCGTTAGAGAGTTAAGGATTCAGACGTGCAGCTTTGCGCAACGCCTGAATTTTACAGGGACTGAAAGGAGCCTGTAATTAGCATTGGGTACCCTGTTTGGCGTCGCGTTGCATTTTCTGATGAGATCAGGTAGCCCTCAACTTACAATATTTAATTTAGTGACCGTTCAAACTTACAACGGCACAGAAAAAAAAAGAGGCTTATGACCATTTTTTACTACTTACGACTGTCGCAGCATTCCCCGGGGGTCGAGTGGTTTACATTCAGATGCTCGACAACTGGTTCATACTTATGACGGTCGCAGTGTCCTAGGGTGACGGGATCCCCTTTTGCGACCTTCTGACAAGCAAAGTCAATGGGGAAGCCAGATTCATTTAAACAACAGAAGCGATTCCCTTAACAAATAGAATGTAATAATAGAGTTGGAAGAGGGCTTGGAGGTCTTCTAGTCCAATCCCGTTTAGGCAGGAAGCCCTACATCACTTTAGACAAATGGCTATTCAATATCTTCTTAAAAACTTCCAGTGTTGGAGCATTCACAACTTCTGGAGGCAACTTCTGTTCCACTGATTAATTGTTCTAACCGTCAGGAAATTTCTCCTTAGTTCTAAGTTGNTAAAAGGATGCAAATGACCAGCTGTCTGCAAGGAATATAAATCCTTCCATTCCCCTCTATCCTGTCAGAGCTGAAGAAGCTTCTTGGATGAGAAGCAAAATGTCTTCAAAAGAAAAAAACAGAAAGTCCAGTTGCCTCCTGAAAAAGCATCTTTGGGATAACCCACGACCTGGATGACTGAGAATCTCCATAGACTCACAGAACTTGTGATGTTATTTCCCAGCCCTTCCCCCCCACTATTAATGATTGATAGACACTGTTAATCTTTCCTTTTAAAACAAAATTTAGAAATTCATAAAGTAAAGACAAATTACAAGAAAAAAGGGGGTAGAAAAAATTATGCAGGTGACCCTGAGGATACAGATAAACCTCTAAGTGGCCTCAGTGACTCTCTTTAAAAAAATGCATGTGAACAGCTGCCTGCAAGGAATATAATTCCTTCCATTCCCCAGCATCCTCTCAGAGCTGAAGAAGCTTCTTGGATGAGAAGCAGAACGTCTTCAAAAGGGAGAAAAAACCCAAGAAAGTCCAGTTGCCTCTTGAAAAAGCATCTTTGGGACAACCAGGACCCGGATGACTGAGAATCTCTACAGACTTTTAGCCTCTTTTAATGTTTGCTGATGAAAGAATTGCCCCCCCCAAGTCCACATCTGGAACTGCAGGCCAGAATTGACTCCTGTTTCACCCAAAGGAGCTTAAAGCAATGTGCTTGTGTTGACATTCGTCCCCTGTGGAAACAAGTAGGCCTCGACTTACAGCAGTTCATTTAGTGACTGTTCAAAGTTACAACACCAATGGAAAGAAGTGACCTGTGACCAGTGTTCACGCTTACAGCAGTTGTAGCACCCCCATGGTCACGTGATCCAGCATCCTGGGGTCACTTTTAAAGACTTTCTAATAAGCAAAGTCAATGGGGAAGCCAGATTTAGACTAATTTAACAAAGAGTGATGGCGATTCCTTTAACTGCTGTGGCAAGAAAGATCGTAAAAATGGGGCAAATGTCACTTAACAAATGTTTCACTTAGGAGGAGCATAGTTTTTGGGCTTAGTTGTGGTCGTAAGTGGAGGACTACGTGTAGAAAACCGAATAAGCAAGTATATCAATGGGTATGTAACAGGCTTTTCCAAGGCTGGCCCTTTGGGTAAGGTTGCTTCAAAAGGCACCTTAACGATGCAACATTGGTGGTTCTCAGGTGTTTCCTTTTGTCGGACAGTACACCTACGTCTGCTACATTTGATGTAAAGGAAAGTTGCAGGTAGTCCTCGACCTACGACCACAATGGAATGCAACATTTCTGTTGTTAAGCAAGACAGTCATTAAGTGGG